TAACTTCCAGTCACTCACCCATCTTTATCCGAGCAGCTAGTCTACCCTCTGGTACTAAAGAGTCTTTCTTAGATACACATTTGGATTACATCATGCCTCTGCTTATATCTGCAGTGGTCCCTATAACCAACAATTTCCATTCTAAGCATTTTAATGTAGATTCAAATATCCACCTGATTCCTCTACATGCCTCTGTTTAGAGCAGCCCCAAAACATACTAGGCTAAATCATTCCTTTCTCATGCCTTCTCAACACCCATACATCCACTTTTTCCATAAAGTTGTTCCCAAGAGTCCTACACCCACCCACAATGTTGTTAAGTGTCATCCAACATGCACAACAAATAGCAATCCAACACATAGCTACCCTATGCACAACAGAACAAAACCACGCCCAGGGTCCTTTGCCATCCTCACAATTGTGGCCAGGGTTGAGCCCATGAGAACAGATAATTTTTTTCTCATTTGTGTCCTCTGGGTTATACTTAAATAATGGTAAGTTAATATTTTCTACAAAATCGTACAAGTCTTTGTTAAGTAAAAATACAAATAGGTGAATTATTGTTTCTTAACATAGTCTTCATCTCGATTTCTTGACTCCTCAAGGCAGTGTTTCTACCTCTCTAACCCTTCCCTCATGAGATCAGTGGTTCAAATTCACCAGCTGCTCTCCAGAACCCTATACAGGGTTGCTATGAGTGGGAACTGACTTAATGGCACTTAACAAGAACCCTTCCCTGAAGAATTCTCTGCTCTATGTAAAATTTGCTGTTTTTGGCATCCTCAAGGGATACAAATCACATTCCATTGAGATGTTCTTTGAATTTTGAGAACAAAAAGAAGTGTGAAGGGACAAGATCAGGGGTTTAGGGTGGATGGGGTGGAGTTTCCCAGCGAAATTTTCATAAGGACAGAGCTTGCTACTCTTGAAGAATGAGAAGGTGCATTGTCAACATGGATAAACTTCCTTGGTGCAATTTTCCTTATGAATACAGTCTTTAATTTTCTTAAAACTGTCTCTCTAATAAGCCCCCGTGATCATCCTGTGCCCTTCAAGAAAAGAAAAAAAACTAACAAACAGCAAACCCCCTTCCAAGACTGAAACTCAAAGGGAATACACGACATGAGCAGGCATGTAATCTTGCTGGTGACCATACTGGTATGGTCTATCGATAATGGGAAGTGGGAGAAAACAGCAATGAAGCTATGGACTGAGTCCGACCATGTTCAATAGATTCTTGTCAACCTGGAGTGAGACCTCGTTGGCCAGCAGTATAGAGACCTAGGGAACCCTGAGCCCATAGACAGGGACATAGCCACAGAGGGCTAGAGCACAGAATGAAGCGTCCAGCTGATATGAAGTGAGGGAAGATGCACAAGAACATCCACACTTGCAGATAATACCCGTTTGATCTAGCTTCAATGTCTGGATAATCAGAACTCAACTAGAGGAAGAAAGAAGAGGGAAAAAAGTGTAATCCACTACAATTCGATGAACTTAACCTATTCTTATGGATGTAGTAGCTTAAAAGAGGGAAGGAATCTTTACAGCAAGAATCATTCCGATGCCCTCTGAACATAGTTGACAGGGATTGCAACTTAGACATTGCCTACCTAAAATGGGGTGGGGGGAGGGGGAGGCATGAAGTGATTGACTTACAAGTTTTCAAGAGGGAGCTTAGTTTCCGAGGGTGCAGGGGGAAAACCACTGAGAGGTTTTCAACCTATCTAAATGGAGCTGGTGAAAGGAGATAGGGATAAGACTCTTGTGGTTCAATAGTGAATAACTGTTATCAGGACTCATTGTGATTGTTGCAAATGTAAAGGTAGATGTTTTGTAACAAAAGGAGGGGAGTGGTTGATCTTGCAGTCCAGGAGCAGAGGACCCTGGGACCATCAAGGGAGAAGAGTGGAGTGCGGGACACTACCCAGAGAAACAGTGACGCCAGAGATGGAGGCAGAGCCGATGACATGGAGAAACTGAGCAGATGGGGACTCTAGACTCAGGGAGGGAGAGGGGCTGTGCACTGGCGGCTATGGGGTAGGCTTGCAGAGTATGCCCTTTGGTTATTTGAATATATTCCTGAGTGCTTTGGTGTACATCCAAAAAAAGATAATTAACCCAGATAACCCTTTTGGAATTCCTAAAAACAGTTGTCATAACCTTCTGTCTTTAACTGGCCTAGCAGATCCTTTTAGAAGCCACTTTTAATGACACCTTTTATTTTTTGAAGGCACCCTAATGCAATTAAAACAAGGGTACTACTAAGAGAAAACTAACTGGTCTGTAGCCATCCACTGATTGCAGAAACATATTTAAAACATGCTTTGTTTTGAATAAACACATGCATATAAGAATTGGAACTCTAGAAGTAATACTTTTTTACTTAGCTTTATAATATATACTACCAGACAATATTTTGTTCTGTTGGGCATAGGGTCGCTATGAGTCGGAACCAACTCCACAATAACAACAACATGCTACAACTGGCTTTTTTTCTCTTGGCAGTTTATCCTGAAGATCTGTTCATATCAATACATAAAGTAATCCCTCATTCTTTTTAATAAGTGTATATTTTTTGAATAATGAGTATATCAAACTTTAAGGAGTCCTTATGGATACCCATGTTGTTACCAGTTTCTTGCTATTTACAAAATAATCTGTAATAAACATCCTTGAAGATTAATATTTAGGCATCATGGAATTGCTGAATAAAAATTGTATAGATATTGCTGAAGTTTTCTCCAAAGTTTGCCTATTTTAAACCCTCAACAATAGGAGTACTTATTTCCTACACCCTCAATAAAGGATTTTCCAATTTTTACATCTTTCTTAGTTTGACAGGCAAAAGATAGTAACTCATGGTTTTAAAGGTGTGACCCACTGTGAATGTGACCCTCTGATTTACAAAGAGTTATCATATTATTGCAGGAGAAAGATGAGGCTTTCTGCTCCCATAAAGATTTACAGCCTCAGAAACCCTGCACAGGGTCACTATGAGTTGGAACCGACTCCACAGCACACAACAACAACAACATCATACTATTGATTCTTGATCATATGCTGCCTCCTGAAATGGTCGAATGCCAAGCATTTGGGGATTTTTTTGTATACGGACTGTATATCTTCCATTTTCTTTTGATGCTTCCTGCTTTGCTCAATATTTTGTCCTTAGAATCCTTCAATATTGCAATTCAGGGTTAGAATTTTTTCTTCAGTTCTTTCAACTTGATTATGTTCATTCATCCCCTTTTGTTTTCTAACTCCAGATAATTCTGTTGACTAATTAAAGGCATTCAACTGAGCAGATCATAACAAATCACGGATAACGTTGTAAAGAATGGGAATTCCATTTTCATGTGGAACCTGTACATAGTCCAAGAAGAAGTCATCTTAATAGAACAAGGAGATATGTCAGGAAAGATATGCATCAAGGTTATGTCACATTTATTCAATCTAGATGCTGAGCAAATAATCCACAAATCTGGACTATATGAAGAAGATGCAATATCAAGATTTAAGGAAGGTTCATTTCAGATGAGACAGTCTTTCTTGCTGGAAGTGAAGAGGACTTGCAGTACTTCCCGACAGAGGACTTGAAGTACTTCCTGACAGAGATCAAAGTACACAGCTTTCAACATGTAGTACACACCTCAACAGAAAGAAAAGAAAACTACTCATAACTAGACCGATAAGGAACACTCAACTTGTTAAGATTTTCCTTTTATTTGGATCTACAATCAGTGTCCATGAAAGTAGCAGTCAAGAATCAAATTAATCAAATATTGGGTAAAACTGTTACAAAAGAACTCATAAAATGTTAAAAAGCGAAGACCTCATTTTGAGGACTAAGGTGCTCCTGACCCAAGCCATGGCATTTTCAATTGCCTCATATGCATGTAAAAGTTGGACAAAGATCAAAGAAAACCAAAGCAGAATTGATGCCTTTGAGTTACGGTAATGGTGAAAAATATTTGATATTGCAGGACGGCCAAAAGAATGAACAAATCTATACTGGAAGAAGTGCAGCCAGTATGCTCCTTAGAAACAAGGGTGGGAACACTCATGTACTTTGGACACATAGTTGTTAAGTGACATCGAGTCGGTTTCAACCCATAATGGCCTTGTGTAGGGTTTCTGAGGAGCAGCTGTTGAGATTGAAGCACCAACCTGGTGATCCAGTGCTTATCCTACAGCGCCACACAGTAAAATAAGAGGACGAAACTCCAGGAGATGGACTGACACAGTCGCTGCAATAATGAGCCGAAATACAGGAACCATTGTGAGAATGGTATTGACCAGGTAGTGTTCTACTCTGTTGTACATGTTGTTGTTGTTAAGTGCCGTCAAGTCAATTCCAACCCATAGTGACCCTGTATAGGGTTTCCAAGGAGCAGCTGGTGAGCTTGAACTTCTGACCTTGCAATTCAAATGACTTTGCAGTCTGATGCATTACCCTACACACCAGGACTCCCTGTTGTACATAAATAGTGTTGTTTTTAAGTCAGAAATAGTTTGCAAATAAGGATCCCTGGTGGTACTATGCATTAGGCATTGGGCTGCTAACCACAAGATGAGAGGTTGATGTGCATGAGAAAGAAGAGACTGTTTGCTTCTGTAACAATTGACAGTCTCAGAAACCCTACACAGAGTTACTATGAGTCAAAATCAACTGGATAGCAGTGGGTTTACTTTTGGTTTTAACTACAACAATTTCATGCTTATGATGACTTAGTCATGGAAACAAAAGACACCAGAGAAACTGGAAAAATACCAAGGATTCAGTGATGGTTTACTTCAATTCAGTGGCTCAAGTGATGGTAATCTGGAAACAGAGGAAGCAGAAGGCCGTCCCACAGTGGGTGTCTACCATGTTGTCAAAGTGCAGCAAGCCTAAATAATAATTTTCCAATGACTGAACGAATGTCTCGGTAAGAGACTAATGGGAAACCATAACCCTCTACTCACAGAAATCCAGCTTACCCACAGATTCAACTCACCATCTAGAAGCCAGTGCTGGCTGCGCCTATTCTCCAGCTCCAACATCATTAGACGTGTGATCACATGATCTGGAACCAAAAGACCTTTCCCTATGTACTGCTTTGCAAGATCACCAACTTCTATTAAAAAAGATAGAAAAAAAGAGACACTCAAAAAAAGTTACCCCCAAAAAATAAAACAAAAATGCTTATAATTCCTCCCCACCCCACCCCCGCAATAGTCTTGCCTTCTTTCCAACTCCTCTCTGTTGGTATGGGGAAAAGTTACAGGTAGATGTTTCTAGAGTAATTTTTAAATTTTTACTTTCCACAATGGTGATGTGGTTATTTATTTTACCCATTTGTCTTCCAGAGCATATTAAAAGGAAGGTCTTGGAGATATACACAGCCACAAAAGAAAGATATAAATTTGAGAAAATAGGAACAAAAAAATTGGTGTCAAGAGGGAGAGTGGTACACAAAAGTCTGAGAAAGAAATCTTGAATACTGCCCAGAGGTGAGCCATAGATTTGGCGCTATTATATTTAATAGTTTATGGCAACAAAGAAACATGGTTCAGGGTGCCTAAAAGACCCAGGCAGCTGAGAAACACAATTATTTAGAGAGACCAAAGGGAAAAGGTTCCACTGATTCTTAGAGAAAGAATGCTGCATAATACAGACAATAGGTTAGTGTCTTTTTGTTAGAATCAATATAAGCAGATGGCACCTTGCTGACAAAGTCCTAAAAGCAAAATGCATTATTAGTGGAATATTAAGTTCATAAAAGGATGTAAACTTAAAAATATATATAAAGTAACTTGTTCAGAGACAAAACATTTCTATCTTAATTTAAAACAGCAATTCCTAATAAGTAGAAATTATGAGTGAGGTTCAACAGAGCAAATGATTTTAAGTCTGAACTACATGTTAGAAAAAAAAAATTGAAAGATTAAAACTTCTGCTCTCTAAGGAACTGAAAATGAACTCTTAAAAATCACATTCTCGAAAGCCAATTCAGTTCTCATAAAAACATGTTGCTATTGCTGCAGTTAAGTGCTGTCGAATTGGTTTTTTGAGTCACAGCAACCCTATGTAGAGTTTCCAAGAAAGGGCTGGTGAGTTTGGACCACTGACCTTGCAATTCAAAGCGACGGTGTGGTCCAGTGCTTATCCTACAGCACCACACCAGGACTCCTGTTAGCTGTAACCAAGTCAGCCCCAACTCATGGCAACCCTATATATGCCTGAAGGTTGTAACTTGGACCACAGCGATCCAGAGGGTTTCACTGGCTCATTTTCAGAAGTAGAATGCTAGACCTGTCTTCTTAGTCTGTCTCGGTCTAGAAACTCTACAGAAACCTGTTCAACATCATAGCAACACACAAGCCTCCACTGACAGATGGATGGTGGATATGCAGAAGACATACTGGCTGAGAATTGAATCCAGGTTACCATTGTCTTCTATTAAAACAAATCAGAAATGTTTCTGGAGAAAAGTTCAGAGAAAACTTATTATCCTCACTTTTACTTGGAATTCAGATGGAACTTTTGCTTGGGGGCAAAAGCATCAGGCAGCAAACCAAAAGATAACCGGTTCAAACTCAGCCTCTCTGCAGGTGAAAAAATAAGGCAGTATGCTTCCATATTTTTTGCTGTTTTATCCATTTATTATCTACAATATTAAGGCACAAGCTTAAGCAGCAAAGAATAGGAAAAATCATTGGCTGAGCAACAGCAATATTTGCTGTGAGAACACACAGTATTGTTGGACTCCTCACTCTATACACAGATTCATCCAGCTGTAGGGACACCCTGGAAAGAACAGATCATGCACTGACCAAGCACAACGATGATGCACAAGAACCACACACTCAGAGCGAGAGACTGCAGGCAGACCGTCAGGCTTCTCAGCCGAGACTGGTGCATGTGCTTGCCCTTGATCCACAGAAATGATAAGGATTCTCTAAGTGCCCCCACTGTCCTTTCTTAAAGGAAATACAACCACCCTGATTCAAGTAAACCCACTGTGGACAAACTGGCATACATTCTTCTTTGTAATAAATACTTAAAGGTGGCCTCATCTGGCAACAGAATGTTAGGCAAAAGTACATGTGAGCATACCACTGGGCATCAAAACATGAGGAGATGCTGGAGAAGTAGTTAATACATAGAGAGCAGGATTCCATTCTGTGAAGGAGCCAAGTTTCCTGACAGAGAAATACCTCAGTCATTGCAGGGTAAGACATCTACATGCATTTAAGTATGTTGTTGTTGTTAAGTGCCGTCGAGTCGGTTTTGACCCATAGCAACCCTGAACAGGGTTTCCGAGGCTGTAAATCTTTACGGGAGCAGAAAGCCTCATCTTTCTCCCACGGAGCAGCTGGTAGTTTCGAACTGCGGACCTTGCGGTTCACAGCCCGATTCGTAACCACTACGCTACCAGAGATCCTTGCATTTAAGTATAATACAGCTTAATAGACTACCTGGCAGGTGCTTATACTAATGAGTGTACACCTGTGATGTGTACGAGGCATGGCAAGGGAACTGGTTTTTAGAAGCAAATCCACTAGGAGTTACGTGGACTAATCGGTGCAGCCCGCTTGCTGTTCTCCTCTGAAGTGGTCATTTGGAGAGGCTCTAAGAGACCGAAAACGCATGTGAGAAACATCTTGGTTTTTTTTGTTTTTTTAAGAAGCTAAAATGGTATGATATACTTTAACTACCTGTCAGTCTTCATCTAACTGAGCTACAAATGATTCTGGATTATTTTAAAAACTTGAATCAATCCTCAGAGGATGATGATTTCTCACCTCTAAGGTTAATCAAAAGGAGCTCTGGTAGCATAGTGGTTACAAATCGGGCTGCGAACCATAAGGTCAACAATTCAAAACTATCAGCTGCTCCACAGAAGAAAGATGAGGCTTTCTGCTCCCATAAAGATTTACAGCCTCAGAAACCCTGTGCAGGGTTGCTATGGGGTCGGAACCAATTCGACGGCACTTTAACAACAACAAAGGTTAATCAAAGGCATGTGTGTGAGGCCCCTCTCACAGCAGACTGCCCCAAAGCATTTCTATTTGGGCAATGCTGCGGGAATAAGTGTACCCCTCTGCCAAGGGGACACCTTTTCAGGAAAGTGGGGTGATGTGAAGCACTTGGATCTTCTGGATATTTAGAAACACAATCCTATGATCATACCTCACGTATGCACTTACATATGTTGTTGAGTGAGGGACGTTGAGTCAATTCAGACCCATAGCAACCCTGTATAGGGTTTCTAAGGAGCAGCTTGTAAGTTTGAACCACCACAGATCATGCAGACTTTGCAGTCTGCCACATTAGCCCACACCGCCACACCAGTACACCATTAAATTACTAATTGAGAAAAAGCATATATTACTTAAAATGTAGAGGAAAAACAAAAACTGCTCATTAGCTCTAGAAGACATCCATTTACTGAAATGTTGACCTTTACTTGCTCCCAGCTGACCAACCAGCTTCTGGTAGTTTCTTAAAACTGCTCAGCTCATCTCCCATGGAACTACACACATCAGAGGTCACTATTAGAATCGAACTTGATGACCTTGAGTTGGGTGGCGCAAATGGCTTACACCTGATTCCTAACCCAAAAATTGGTGGTTAGAACATGCCTAGTGAGGCCTTTCATGTTTGCATTCTATTAAGCATGGTATTTTCAAGGTCTAACCATGATTATCTGTTCATTCTTTTTTATTTGCAGAACAGTACTCTATTGTATGGAAACACCACACTTCTTCATCTTTTCAATAAGACATTTGGATTATTTCCACCTGTTTTGGCTATTAGGACTAATTCTACTATGAATATTTGAATATACCTTTCTGTGTGTACATATGTTTTCAGTTCTCTTGGGTAATACTCTTATTTTAAAGGTGAGAAAATTGTAACTCAAAAAAACTAACTTGTCCAAAGCCCTACAGTCAGTAATGCTAGATCTGAAACTGATTCTGATCTATTTCAAACTCTGTGCTCTTTATTAGAAATACCTCAAACATACTGTATAGATAAAGGGCAATTCTTCTCATTTTCTCTGGAATTATAAAGACCCTAATAATAGTATTTCTTTTGTCTAATAAGAAAGAAATAAAATAAAACCACCCACCAGGTACAATCTTTTCATAAACAATGTGTATTGAATGAGTTTCTTTTGATTTGTAACATTATGCACAAGAGCAATTCTTATCTAAACAATGATTTAAGGATGGTTCTAAACCACCAGATTCAACTACAAAGCATATCATGGCAGAATTGAAATTAGAACCCATTAACTTGAAGGAGATTTCTGGACATCTGTCTGCACTCAACCAGCTCTCTAAGTTGCAATAAAAAGGTCCAAAAGTTAGAAGAGACAGAAACTATAAAACAAATACTGATAAAAAACACTCCAAGTATCATCAAACGATTTAAAAGGCTTACTCTGGTGTTGAATGTCTGAAGAATCATTGTCAGAAAATATACTTGGAGTAACAAACAAGTTTGGTGATAGTCTTCTCTGCAAAGGTCAGGCCAGAACAGAGCCCGGTGTTTAGTGCCAAACTCCAGATTTTAAGGTAGATTAAAACCAATAAATACACATCTTCTTCTAAAGTGATAAACTGCCCTAGTTTCCTAGGGATACCATAACAAAACACACTAAACTGTCTCCCACCACCACCACCCCAGAATCACAAGTGTCATACCTTTAATAGGTTTTCTTCTCTGACAAGTTTTCTCCATATACATCTGGCTTTCACAAGTTCTGTGATTGTTAGGTGCTGCCAAATTGGTTCCAATTCATACATACAACAAAATGAAACACTGTTTCCTCACAATTGTTGCCACTTGTTGCAGCCACAGTAACAATCCATCTGATTGAGGGTCTTCTTTCTTCATTGACCCTCTACTTTACCAAACGTGATGTCCTTCTCCGGGGACTGGTCTCTCTTGATAACATGTCCAAAATATGTGAGACAAAATCTCGCCATCCTCACTTCTAAGGAACATTCTGGTATGATTTGTTCATTCAACCAGCAACACCTTAAGTCTTCAAGGTAACATCTTTTGTTTTTAACATTTTAAAGGAGATCTTTGGCAGCAGATTTCCCTAATGCACTATAGGCT